TATCCGGTTTTTTGTAGCGTTTTAGGATTGAAAGTATATATTTTATAGAATAAGAGTGACAAACGAACACACAGTCCACCTGATGGTAAAGGGATGCTGTAGCTCACCTTTATTTATTCTTAATTAAGAATCAAAATCTTAATTCATTGTCACTCCTGGGGACTAATATAGAATGCCTATCCTCTCTATACAAGAAACACAGCACCATTAAGTTGGCAATTTATGCTGGTTTTTTGTGAGAACGTGGTCTAGCCATCATCGTTTAGACCCTGGTCGAACCGAACCATTCAGGTTGCATAGCTAGAGGGTGGCTTTACTACGTAAATATAATTATTGTAGGATTTCATCTCAGACTTTTGTTTACAACACATATGTAGCCTACTTTATTTAAAGTTGGTTAAAGTCGCTTTGTATTAAATCTAAATGTTTAAGCTTCTTTATTTTACGCAAATGATCTAATTTTTTTTTAAACTTACATTAAATTCAACGCTAGCTCAGCCGTAGTGTCAGACGGACTCGCTTGTACCAATCTTTTTTTTCTTAAAGGAGATGTATAAAATTGGGTGCTTGATATCGTTCGTAACAGTTATACAAAAATATGTAGGTAATAAAACAGTAAATTATAAGCATAAATAAATGGTTTTTGTTTCTGTAATCCTTGGGACAATCATAAAAACATTTTTTTAAAAACTGAAATAGGAAGCTAATGCTTTTGCTTTAGCAAAAACGAAACGTTTTTAAATATCTTTTTGTATTCTGTCTACGGTAATAGATAATGAAGGCTGTTTTTGTAATAAAATAGCCTTCCTTACCAAAAAAAAAAAATCATAATATTGAAACATTGACGCGAATCTGTAGTAATAAATATTGAATAAAATAATATATTTAGAAAACAATTAAATAGGCTATATCATTAAACCAAAAAAACATTTGAATATTATTCTACACGACTGAATAAGCTGTATGGTTATTGATCATTGCATATTCCGAAGGAGACTTAACTTGGTAACGAAGACGAATATGAAATGCCTCGTTTCCAGTAAATAGGGTATCCGGTTCTCTATACTCACATTACATAACACAACACCATTGAGCTGCTATATTACTGTGGTATTCTGTGAAAGTGTGGGTCCTATCACGGTCGAGCCAACCATTCCATAACTGCAGCATGTCTAAACCACATATAATTTTTTATTGTATATTGTGAGAGCCGCGGTAGCTCAGGGGCGAAGCGCCCACTGTAAATTTCACATCACGCGAGCAATAGTACGCAATTAGTTTTTATAGGTTAAACGTCGCCCGGATATAGCTTGAATCCGCCATAACCTAAAATACACAGTGTAGGTGGTTTGGATCGATCGCACCCACACCCGTTTTTAATCCTCGTTTTCCTGTACCTTATTCACATTTATTTTTTATGACGTAATGTTTATTTTACTTTTAAAACATTATAAAAACAGTGGCCAGTCTTAAAAGCGAATATCCGTCTACGCAAGACAGAATTGTTGTGCACAAGCGTGTGCGTAAACGTGGTAGAGCCATGCTGCAGCTATTTTAGTAGTATAGTTGTAGCAAGAATGGGTCAGATCGACCGGGGAAGGACCGCGCTCTCACAGAATACCATCGTAAAATAGCAGCTTAATGCTGCTGTGTTTCGTATGGTGAGTGTAGAGAACCGGAGACCCTTTTTACTGGAAACGAGGCATTCCATCTTAGTCCTCACGGGTGACGACGCATCTGCATTTTGATTTGTAATCGAGGATATATGTAGATGTCTATGGGCCGCAGCAACCACTTACCATCAAGTGGACTGTGTGCTCGTTTGTTACCATTATCCTATAAAAAAAGGTGCATTCTCTATTCTCTCATTCTCAGAGCCCGCTGGGATGCCAATCAGACATGACCAGAGAGAAATCAGGCGTAAACCCCTCCGCTTTCCGTGTTCTCTGAGGACAGGGTTGAAACAGTGCCAAACTCCTAAATCCGAGCTGCTAATGAGAAGTTCTTGATAGAAAATCCAAATTAGTGATTTTAGCCCGACATGTTCGAACATGGGACATGATTAGCAGTCACGTTTACGACTTATAGACCAATGCGACATCAAAGATTATATCTTTTTTTTTAAAACGTTACCTCCACACTAGGATTTTCTCCTGTGTCGTGGAACAATTATTTGTAGGCCATACAAATACTTTTTCCGTGCGAGATTCGAACCCGCGGCACCCAGCGCAACAACTCATTGCTAAGCCGCTACACTACGGAGCCGTAACTTCATATGATGAGCGGCTAAAGCATTTCCGTATATCTTCCTTATATAACAGGCGCAAACTTTTGGATTTGAGCTTCCTCTACAAACTGTGCAGTAATAGCATCGACTGTCCTCAATTACTGGAAATGGTTAACATTAATGCTCCAAGCAGATTATCACGATTTAATGTCTACAAGCTGTTCATGGTCCCACCTCACAGGACTAACCTCGGTCTTAATTCAGCATTATGCAGAATGTTTAGACTGTATAATGATATATCTAAGCCATCCGATTTAGACATTTTCAATGAAAATTTAAATAATTTCAGAAGAAAAATGTTACTTTATTTAGAATATAAGTTTTAGGTGATAAATATAAACCTTTTTTAATTTCTCATAAATACGCAATTTTGCTACTGTACTATTAAATTTTACGATAATTAAATTTTTCCAACATTACTCTGTGTTAGCTGTGGTTGTCTATAACTGGGTGAGCACATTGCATGTTTCTCACTATGCTTGGATCTTGTTTTTAGTATTTGTGTATCATCTGTCGGTGACCCTTATACCTAAATAAATAAATAAATAAAAATAACTAAGCTAACTAAATCACAGGGACTAAATATAACTAAGCCATGTAGTGGCAGTGTTAGAATACCCACTACCCCATATAATTCTGTGGATATTGTAAGAGGCAACAGAGTGAAATTAAAACAGGTGATGGGCAGTAGCATCTTCCTGATAACAAATCAAAATAATAAAAAACTGCGGTTGATAACCCGCTCGCCAGGCGTATCAACTAGGCAAAGTCGGCTCTATGAGGCAATCTATGGTGTAGGCCTGCGTTCAGCAGTGGACTTTTATAGGCTGTAATAGTAATGGTTTATACAACTAAGGATATTGGTATGTTGATTTAGAATCATTTTAATCGCATTGCATTTATGTTGAAATGTATATTATATTAAGTTTCTTTCTAATCAACCATCGCAGTAGCCAGGAATTCTAGCAGTGTAGGTTGTTCAGAACCATGCTTTGTGGCATTGATTAGGCGAGGCCTGCAGTTCAGCAGTGGACTTGTGAGACGCTGGAATAAATAAATGAAAGAAAGAATGTATTAAAACGAATTAGGTCAGTAAACTAGAAAAAACAAACGCGTGTGTGTGTACTTATGTACGTACGTAGGAAGTTATACTTCTTTAGCATAATAAATCAAAAATAACTAAAAATAACTAGCTTAAATATAGTTATCAGTTCCCACAAAAACTTCAGACACAGTTACCCAATGAAGTTGTCGCTTTGAGGTGTCAATGTGCGCGATAACAACTTCATGATGTTGTTTTTAGCTGTCGGTGTGCGCGCGCATCGTAAAAAATTCACTCTCAAAATTTTTCCAAAACGCCCCAAAAGAAGTATAACTTCAAAAATGTATAAAAGTTTAATCTGTTCTTGTGAAATTAATTTGGCGTGTTTTGGTAGCTCGGGGGCAAAACTATCAATTACCTTAATTTTTATTAATGTTTTTCTAATCTGAGAGTTATGTAGCGGCGATATAAGAATATCCACTACCCCATATCACCCCGTGGGTGTCGTAAGAGGCGACATATAAACGTAACCTCACACGCCTATCACCCAGAGGGGTAGGCAGAGATTATGGACTTCCATTTGGCACGATCCTGACACACCTCTCTCGCTTCCTCCACATCCATATACCTACGCATACACGCTCGTCGGTTAAAGGTACTCTTGATTTGGCCTATTTTTAATATATCGCCAATTTGGTCGATAAACTTTCGCCTAGGGCGACCCTTCCCGACTATGCCGTTCATCTCTGCAACATAAATTTGCTTTGTCACTCTTTCCTCATTCATTCTTTCTACATGGCCAAACCACCGAAGCATTCCTTTCTTAATCCTGGTCACAATATCATCTTGCAAACCACACTCTTCTCTTATTAAACAATTTCTCACTCTGTCATTCAGCTTCATCCCTAACATACTCCTTAATGACCGCATTTCTACAGCATTTATTCTACTCTCATGCTTCTTCTGCCACACCCAACTTTCACTACCATACATTAAAGTAGGTACTAACACAGCATTGTGAATTGCCATACGTGCCTTTTTGGACATATTCTGACTTCCCACAAAAAAGTGCAGAGCCCCATTCACTCTATTTCCTGCGTTCACTCGTCGTTCTATATCCTTATCGTATCACAGTCCCTGCTAAATACACATCTTAAATACTCCAACTCATCTACTTGCTCGACCAACTCCCCTTCTACTCTTATTTCACATATCGTTTTACTTTCTTCTCTTTCAAAAACCATAACTTTCGTCTTACTTGCGTCCACTTTCGACAGAGTAAAACAAATCAGGAGACGGACAGCACCGCCTTCTTAATAACATCTAGCAATAAAAAATATGGTTGTCAACCCGCTTGGCAAGCGTGGCAACTATGGCAAATGTCACCCTTGTGAGGCAATATATGGGGGAGGCCTATGTTCAGCAGTGGACTTTAATAAGCTGTAACGGTAACGGTAATCTACGAGAGAGGCCTACAGATAGCGCGCGAGTTGAATGCAGAGCTCAGGAATGCGATAGTGCTGTGACCTAACTAGAATTAATGATGACAATATGTCGATAAATTTCAACATTGTTTTAAGTTTACCGTTTCAAGTTTAGAAAAAACAAGATAATAATTATCACACATTTTTTATTATTTTACACATCAAAATCAATAAAAAAAATTATAATTTATGCAGCATCAGATTCTGAAATGGCAGACTTGGTTGAATCGGTGTCACTATCCTCACCATCGCTGACCTCAATTACAAATCGATCTATGGTATCTTCCATTAATCCATCTCTTTGCCAATAATTTTCTTCTAAAATTATGACGTGATCGTCGAAGCCACGCCAATCTTCCTCTGTGACCTGAGAGAGAGCCAGCTCCGTAACTTCTTTTAACCTTTTTAGGGAGAAATCAGAAGTAACATTGTGATGCCTTACAATTCTTTTTACTTTTGCCCAAGCCAACTCAATAGGGTTGAGGTCGCACATGTACGGTGGTAGTCTTACTACGATATGGCCTTGACTTCTGATGAATTCATCGATTTTGAAAGATTTTTCCGTAGGTTTATGTAACTGAACCAAGTGAAAGAGCTGATCTTTTCTCATAGTAAGTGAAGCTTCGATATTGTTCTTGATTAACCATTCCAACATTACTGATTTGGTGCTGGACTTTGTTGGGACTTTATTTTCTTGTACACTATGATACGGTGCGTTGTCCATCACAACAACGCTGGTTTGTGGTAGATTAGGGATTAACATATCAGTGGCCCACTTCTCAAAATTAACACTGTTCATCTGTCCGTGATAATCACCTGACGTAGTACCAGCCTTAAAAAGTAACTTTGCACCATTTAAAAACCCTCCTCTCGATCCTGCGTGGACAAGAATGAGCCTGTTCGTGGAGCTTGTATCCGTCAACACGGCGTCGATCATTTCATTTCTCCAGCATTTTTTAAATGTGAGGTTGTTGTCTAACCATGTTTCATCGAGAAAAAAAATATTTCGATCTTCTTGCCTATACTGACGAATTTTCCGCAAATAAATTGACCGTGCATATGCGACAGCTGGCCTCTCCACCAAAATTTTACGTTTATTATGACATTTAAGCCATCTATATCCCATGTCTTTTAACAATTTTCTTAAACTCGTCACTCCCCATGGAAACTCGATTTTTTCTCGAATAGCTGCGAGGAGTTTAATGCAGGTCGGAACAATTTTTTTAGTTAAATAAAATTCTTCAATAATTCTGTGTATAACATCTCGATCAAAATCATCGACGTTTAAATTTGTCTTCTTGTTACACTGTCTTTTCTTTTTAGAAGGCGAACAAAGAGGCCCTTTTTTGGCTTCATTTTGAATTGCAGACAATGTTCTCTTCGAGAGTCCAGTATAACGGCTTGCGCGATCGTAAGCATTATTTAATGTGAATGTTAAATTGTTGTTCTGCCTTTCTTTAACACACATGTCTAGAACATTTTTTGCCATTTCCCGTGCTTGGCGATGAATAAAAACTCGTTTTTTTGTAACAGAACTTGACGTACACGGATCAGACATCATTAAAAACAAAAATAACACGCGGCTGCAACTGTATATTAACACGATAACACAGTAAGCGTATGATAGTTGTCAAGGACAGCGCAGCACTACACTGCAGGCGCGCGAGACGCGGCGTGCGGACGGCGGGGGGAGATGCTCCCGCTCTTCACCTCAGGCCCCGACGGCATTCAACTCGCGCGCTATCTGTACATATGTTCGACAGTAGACTTGTGAAGGGTTGTAGTGACATTTATTGAGAGTGTGAAACACTATTAAAGAAGATCACAGGATACCAGCGTAAAACAGCAGCTTAAAATTGCCGTGTTTCGTATGGTGAATGTAGAGAACCGGAGACCCTGTTTTACTGGAAAAGAGGCATTCCATCTTAGTCCTCACGGGTGACAACGCATCTGCATTTTGATTCGCAAACGAGGATAGATGTAGATGTCTATGGGCCACAGGAACCACTTACCATCAGGTGGACTGTGTGCTCGTTTGTCACCCTATCCTATAAAAATAAAAAAGATATCATGTATGTAAATACATTATATCTTCGTTGTATCATGGCGATATAAGAATAGCCATTAGCCACGCATTCCGACCTGTGGATGTCTCAAGAGACGTCCAGAAAATGTATTAACATCTCACATTTACACCAGGTAGAACATTTCCATATCGGTAGCGGGAAGCAGCTTCAATGGCGCGAAATGACCGTAAACCCAATATGGCGATCACCTTGATGAGAGGCTCATGCCTTCCATTTTTACAATTAATTACTCGCAATCTTTATTGTAGACCTAAATCAGTATATATAACGACTTGGCCAAATAATATTTGTACATATTTCAATGTGAAATATCATTTTAGTACGTGTACAAATATAGTGTAAATGCAAAATTGCCTATTTCGAGCAAACAGTGTTTAAAAGCTTTTACAAAAATTTACTTCGCAAATATCCGCGTTATAAAATAAAATGATGTGTCTTACCTAGTATGAAGAAGCACTTCCCGCCCTCCCTCAATTGCGTGCACTATCCCCGTCACCACTAATCCCAGCACCGCTACTTCCAACACCACTACACTAGGCAAGACACACCACTGACGATAATACGACACGTGTTTCGCCTCTACACGAGGCATCCTCAGGTGATATAGACTCTACGGTGGCTAACCGCTAAGTGAGCGGCGAGCCAAAACAAGTGCCTTTTATACAAACCGATGATGCAACCGCTCTCTACCTAACGAGCGAGCGATTGCGTCATGCGATAAAACATGCGACCAATCACCGCTGGACTTACGCAGCCGTTTGTAAAATTAAAAACAAACCGCCGCGCAACGCCCACATTATTAGAGAGCAGGCTTGAAGATATTTAAGAGAGGTGAGTTAGTAACATTTGTTTGTTCATTCAGCAATGCAACGGTATTATTATTACTTTTTAATATCTCTAACTGTTCCAGCACACACAGCCGCAGCCCTTTATTACACGTATGTAAGACTTTAAAGGAGTGGTCGTTGGCTAGGTTGTGTCCAGTGTCCAAAAGATGTTTGGCAAAATGGGATTTATCGGGATTGCAATTCCTGTACGCGGCTAAATGCTCTTTATAACGTGTCTCGAAATTGCGACCAGTCTGACCCACGTAAACGGCGTGGCATTCGTCACAAACAAGTTTGTAAACACCTGACTTTTGACGAATATCTAACTTATCTTTACTATTACAGATATTTCTAAGAGAATTGTTTGTTTTGAACGCCACATGAACGCCGTTTTGTCGAAGAGTATTAGCTACTTTTTCAGATATGGGGCCTAAGTAGGTCAAACTGCTCACATATCGATGAACACTTTGAGGTTGAACCGCGTACAGAGAGTTGCGAATAACATGCTTTTGTTTCTTTTTAATTAAATTGTTAATGAGATTTTTTGAAAAACCGTTAGAGACCGCTATTTGATAAATTATATTAAGTTCTTTTAAATAATTTTCTTTACTTAATGGGACAGTGAACAAACGGTTAATGTAACAATAAAAAGCGGCTACTTTATGTTGCCATGGATGACATGATGACGCGGGGATGACCGTGTCGGTGTGAGTTGGCTTTCGATAAATTTGGAAAACATGTGACGATTCTTTTCTTGTTATTGTTAAGTCAAGAAAATTAAGGGAACAATCTTGTTCCAATTCAAGTTTAAATTTAATTTTGTCATGGACTCTATTTATTTTATTGAGGAAAACATCCAGTTGTCTCCTTGTGCCAGTCCAGCAAATAATTATGTCGTCTACATATCGATAGTAATATAAGATATTTTGATTGACAACTATATGTTGTTTTTCGAAATTATCCATGAAAATGTCTGCCATAAGGGGACTTAGAGGGGACCCCATAGCTAACCCTTCTTTTTGTAGATAGAAACGGTTATTAAACCGGAAATAGTTTTGTTTCATACAGAGAGAGGTTAAGTTAAGAAGATCATTTGTTTCCCCGGGATGTAGACGACGTTTTCCAAAGAGATCTGCGAGTATACGCAAACAGTCAGGGGATGGGACATTTGTGAAAAGACTATCAACGTCTAAAGATAACAATATGGATTTAGGAGGAATACGAATATCTTTAATTTTGGAAATGAGATCTAAGCCATTTTTTAGGCTGTAAGTGGGGTTGAATCCAGATTTCTCTCGAAGGAGGAAGTTTAATTTTTTAGCAAGGAAATAAGCTGGTGCACCAATATATGAGACAACTGGATGAATAGGAACATGTTCTTTATGTATTTTTGGTAACCCATATAAAATGGGTGCTTGAGGATTCATTGGAACAAGATTGCTCCGAGACAAGTTGTGATCGGGAAAAACATATGATGACTGTTGTATACATAACTTAATATCCGAAGTAAACTTTTTGGTTGGGTCAGACTCCAATAGCTCAAAGTCATCACCTTGGATAACATCGTTAACTTTCTGGCTGTACCCACTACTCTCCATAATAACAACAGTATTGCCTTTATCGGCTTTAGTAACAATAAGGTCGTTTTTCCTTATTCTCTGCTTTAGGGACTTAAAAACAGGGAACTCAGGATTGAAATGGGAAGACGTGGGTACAGCCCGAATTTCATTAGCTACCAAACTTTTAACGATGTTATCTTTCTTCCCGATCACAACAGCCACCTCCGCGTCAACAGCCATAGTCTCTAACGATTTTTGGGAGACCGAAGGTGTTAAATTATACTTTAGGCCTTTATGTAAAAGGGACAACTCATCTGTTGGAAACTGGACATCGGAAAGATTTTTAACTCGGGGATAAAATTGGTGATATTCTGTATGTATGTCGTTATTACGATTACGGGATGAAGAGGATACAAGTCGTTGTAATTTACGGGACTGAATTTGATATTTCTCATAAACAGCCATTGAAGCAAGTTCTCTGGCTTTCCCATCCAAAATATCAAATTCAATATTATGTAATTTATATGAAAGTTCAGAGTATAATACTTTAAGGTGGATTTTTGAATTATCTCTATTGGAAAACCAACGACGACACTCCTCATTAAGCCAAATGTTCTGAGCTTTTGAAATAGCAATACTGGCCGCTCGACTATTTGTGCTGGAACGTATTTGAATATAATTGGGAACAACATGAAGTTGTTTGCACTGCTGATTGAACCAAACATTTTGGGCAGCAATACGATGGAGTTTTGTTAATTTAACATAGAGTCTTGCCTGGTCGGCCGTGCTAGCCTTTTTAATATAATTAATAGAATCAGGCGTTACTTTGCGGAAATCCATTATATAAAAGCTTTTACAAAAATTTACTTCGCAAATATCCGCGTTATAAAATAAAATGATGTGTCTTACCTAGTATGAAGAAGCACTTCCCGCCCTCCCTCAATTGCGTGCACTATCCCCGTCACCACTAATCCCAGCACCGCTACTTCCAACACCACTACACTAGGCAAGACACACCACTGACGATAATACGACACGTGTTTCGCCTCTACACGAGGCATCCTCAGGTGATATAGACTCTACGGTGGCTAACCGCTAAGTGAGCGGCGAGCCAAAACAAGTGCCTTTTATACAAACCGATGATGCAACCGCTCTCTACCTAACGAGCGAGCGATTGCGTCATGCGATAAAACATGCGACCAATCACCGCTGGACTTACGCAGCCGTTTGTAAAATTAAAAACAAACCGCCGCGCAACGCCCACATTATTAGAGAGCAGGCTTGAAGATATTTAAGAGAGGTGAGTTAGTAACATTTGTTTGTTCATTCAGCAATGCAACGGTATTATTATTACTTTTTAATATCTCTAACTGTTCCAGCACACACAGCCGCAGCCCTTTATTACACGTATGTAAGACTTTAAAGGAGTGGTCGTTGGCTAGGTTGTGTCCAGTGTCCAAAAGATGTTTGGCAAAATGGGATTTATCGGGATTGCAATTCCTGTACGCGGCTAAATGCTCTTTATAACGTGTCTCGAAATTGCGACCAGTCTGACCCACGTAAACGGCGTGGCATTCGTCACAAACAAGTTTGTAAACACCTGACTTTTGACGAATATCTAACTTATCTTTACTATTACAGATATTTCTAAGAGAATTGTTTGTTTTGAACGCCACATGAACGCCGTTTTGTCGAAGAGTATTAGCTACTTTTTCAGATATGGGGCCTAAGTAGGTCAAACTGCTCACATATCGATGAACACTTTGAGGTTGAACCGCGTACAGAGAGTTGCGAATAACATGCTTTTGTTTCTTTTTAATTAAATTGTTAATGAGATTTTTTGAAAAACCGTTAGAGACCGCTATTTGATAAATTATATTAAGTTCTTTTAAATAATTTTCTTTACTTAATGGGACAGTGAACAAACGGTTAATGTAACAATAAAAAGCGGCTACTTTATGTTGCCATGGATGACATGATGACGCGGGGATGACCGTGTCGGTGTGAGTTGGCTTTCGATAAATTTGGAAAACATGTGACGATTCTTTTCTTGTTATTGTTAAGTCAAGAAAATTAAGGGAACAA